TTTTTATTTTTTTTTAGAACTACGATTATTGTAAAGCGCCATTGAGCTGACGGAAATGGCGCTATACAAATTCTTGTATTATTATTATTGTATTATTAAACTGTATACATCAATTACAGGTGACCCTTGCCCTTTCCATAACTTTAAACGTAAAGTCGACTTGAGTTTCGACGTCTTTTTTTCTAAGACTATTTAAAAATGTACTGTAGTACTTGCCTTATTGCAACTTAATCCAGGGAATATATCAATCTATCATGACTAAAAAGTTATTGGTTACCAATGACGGCATCGACAGTTAAAAATGACAACGACCGTTTACTAAAGGGGAATTGGCGTCGCATAATACAAAATTCCAACCTCGTTCCAGGGGTCTTCTCTAGGTGAGGACTCAGGTAACAAGGTTGTCAAAATTAGTCTTGAATCATTTGGTATTCTAACAAAATTTAATGCATACTTATAACATTGCTAACAGAAACATTGTACAGTTGCTGTTGTTGGAGAGATAGAAACTGGGAATAAATGAATTGAGGATAACTTAACGATCTACTCAGGTTTACTGGCTACGAACTTTTGACAATTGAATTTCTTCAGCCGATAGGTTGCTCCAAAAGTTTTGGCCCCAGGTATTTTATGGAGTGCTTCCCATATATATGTTGCTGTGATGAAGCGAGGTAGAGAAAAGTCGGACTGCCTCAGGTTACACGCCATTTGCTTGCATATAAAACTTGTTTATACTCTTTATTTCATTACCAAAATGTACCAAAAAAATTAGTTCTGTTTATCTCTTGTTATCAAATCTCAAAAACCAAGACAAATAGCAACCGAAAAAAATCTGTTTAACTTGATTTGAACGATTTCCCCATTCCGTGATTATACTTTCAACGGCTTGTAACGAGAAATTTTAAAAAAGTGTTTCCCTGAAAGTTCACAATATTAGAAAGGTTATACTAACTAAATTGAACATGTTATTCCAAAGAAGCTAGAATGAGGTTTAATTCCAAGAATAATATCTGAAGTGAGGAAAATAACGAAAATTTCACCTCCTATACCTCTTCAAGCGGCTCTTTTAAAGGGGAAAACTTCTTACGCAAATGATAGGTTATCTTAGTCAATTAAATTTTGTTATGCAAGGCAAGCGGCCCTCATTGCTCATGCGATGCCAGGGCTCGTCCATGACCAGCATGACATTGGCGGAAAAGGCGAAAACCATCGGCTGCCTCGAAATTCCTAAAGTGAGATTCGACTCGAAATCCTGTCTCGAAGGATTTTTTTTTCTCCCAAAAATATTTCTTGGACAACAATTAGCAGTTAACTGTGAAAGATTTGGATCCAGGATTCATTTCAAAACTAGGTTAAGCCGTGATGTTATTGGCTATGAAGACTCGAAATGTCATTGGTGCGATTCGATTGGTCTATTGTCACAGTTAAACAGTCGTTTATTGTTAGTCAAATTCTCATTTGTCCAGTTACTCTCTTGTATTTAGTTTTGCTTGATCCCGTCAATATGTCGTTTGTACGGTGCTGGTAACTGTTGAATACGATTCAGTGGCGTTTGTTTTAAGTTAGTAAACCAGCTTTCTAAAGTGAGTCGTTGATAGTACTCTGTTGAATACGTAAAACATGTCGCAGAGGCCCAGTCGATTTGATGTTTCGTCTGTAAATGGTGCTCAGCAATGTGATTGTTGACGTCACCATTTCCCTTCGCACATTTGTGTTCGGTCAGTCGCGCGACCAGTGCAGCAATGTAAGAAGCCTGGCAGTCTCAGCATTTGATCTTGCATACTGTTCCCTGTCTGTCTTCCGGTTTGTCTTTGTCCTTGACATTAGTAAGTAGTCGTCGTAAAGTGGTTATCGGTTGCAACACGTATATTGTAAGGTTGTAGTATACGTACGATAGTTTCAGAGGTGCCTCTGGTGTACGGTATAGTTTCTGTCGTGCTAGAGTTGACGTTGGTCTGAGTGTTGGAACCAGTGTTACTGTGAGTGTTTCGTCTAACAAAGTCCCTTTTGCGAGTTATGTCTGCTACTTATGAATTAGCAGTTAAGTCGTCAGGAGAACACCGGGCATCAAAACCTAATCTTTGCACCACAAAAATAGTCAAAATATAGCTATTACGGAACTTTTATCTTTATTAGCAATAATCTTAACTATTACAAAAACTTAGGTTACCTTAAAATCCCATAAAGTTGGAGCTGTTTTAGCCTGCAAGCAAGCTCTCCGGGGCGCTCCTNCGTCGTAAAGTGGTTATCGGTTTGTGTGCAACACGTATATTGTAAGGTTGTAGTATACGTACGATAGTTTCAGAGGTGCCTCTGGTGTACGGTATAGTTGCTGTCGTGCTAGAGTTGACGTTGGTCTGAGTGTTGGAACCAGTGTTACTGTGAGTGTTTCGTCTAACAAAGTCCCTTTTGCGAGTTATGTCTGCTACTTATGAATTAGCAGTTAAGTCGTCAGGAGAACACCGGGCATCAAAACCTAATCTTTGCACCACAAAAATAGTCAAAATATAGCTATTACGGAACTTTTATCTTTATTAGCAATAATCTTAACTATTACAAAAACTTAGGTTACCTTAAAATCCCATAAAGTTGGAGCTGTTTTAGCCTGCAAGCAAGCTCTCCGGGGCGCTCCTTCGGCGAGGTGGGAAAAGGAAGGAGAGCTTGCAACTACGTCTCTGGAATTTGAATATCTGCATCGAAAAAGGCGATGCAAAATGTTGATTGGCGGACATTACCCTTAGCGCCTGTTTTTAAATGTTTGTTTTCATTCGCGCTCGCTTACACTTCGCGCTGATTGGCGAAAATCTGACTGCACGGTCGATGGGGAGCAACAAGTGAACTGGAGGTTGAATTCACATCCAGAGACCTACAATTGTAGTTACAAGTTCTCGGAGAGCTTGCTCGCAGGCTAGAGCAGTTAAGGACTGGCAGTCCACACTTTGCCGTTTGTAGTAGTATAGTTGAATTTGTAGTCAGCACATTGCATCTATCGCCATCTATCGTTCCTCCGTGGGAGTTAGAACATTCCCTCCTGGAGTAGGTCCTTTCCCACCTGAAACTGGTACGGTTACACTTGGAGTAGACACTGTGATACGTCGTGAAGTGGCTCTCCATGGTCGTGGTGGTCTTGCTGTGATACGTCGTGAAGTGGCTCTCCATGGTCGTGGTGGTCTTGCTTTAACTACTGCGCGTGGTCTTGGTCTCCTACGTGGCCCGTGTCGCCTGGGTACTCTCCTTTGTCCTTGTTGTCTACCTCGCCCACCTCTTCGACGTCCACTACATCGATCACGGTCTTGTATGCGATATATCTTTGTTCCTACTGCTTGAAATATACAATTACCCATTTAGTTCAAAATGAAAAAAAAGAATAAAAAGAATGATTTCATCGACTTAGCGGTGCACATCATGATCATGAATTAGTTAGTGCTGATATCCGTTACGTTACAAGCTACAACACGTCATATTGAAACTTCGTATCTTATTTTCTTTATTAGCGACATCCGTGTTGTACACATTTATCAAGTTACCGCAGTGTCTACGGTCAAACTTAAAACTTTGTCAGTTGGGTTTACACCAGATTATCGGTACTCAAGGTCTTTACTTCGTAGTCTTCTAGACGCTGTTTATTTACAGCTGGAATCCAAATGCTCTTAAGGTTTACAGCTGAAGGGGAGGCAAACTACCAAGAGCAACAAATCATGCACCTTGCTTTAATCTTGGAAAATGAAAATGAATTTAAAAAATAGATAAATTGAGAACGTCCATCTAAGGATCGTTAACTATAAAGAAAAGCGGCGAAACGAACCAGGAGCTTAACTTATCAACGTAATTTTCCTGACCTTTATAATAAACCCGATTTAAAAAAAAAAAAAGAAAAAAGAAAAAAAACCTACCCTCTTCATCATTATCTACATCCCATTCAGCAAGATCTGATTTATCAGACAAATCATCAGCGTCATCATCATCATAATAATCATTATCATCGTCATTGTCGTAGTCGTCCTCTAACAAATCACTCGATTCTTTGTCTTCGCATTCATCATCCTCCTCAATTGTATCTTGTGTTTCATCTTCATATTTTCCGCCTTCTTCGTTTTCCATGTCACCTTGATCTTCATTGTTTTCATCTTTATTTGCTGAATCGTCTTTGTCGTTAGCCCAGTCATGGTCATCTACATCGTTTTCATCATATTCCCTGGCCCAATGGTCATTCTCCCCGCGATCGTTTAAAGCCGCTTTTCCAAAACTTTTGGTTTCTTCATTGTAGGTTCTTTTCAGCTTCGACGCTGTTTCTTCAGAAAAGGCAGCAGGACTGCAAGTGTCAAAGAAAAGCGCAGAAAACAGAACAAAAGACAAGGTGACAAGACACCAAGTCTTCATCCTGTCTCTCCTCGTTGTCGATCGTCTGCAATAGCGCGCGTATTTAAGCTTTCTCCGAAAGGCGATATTATCCGAAAGTAGGTATAAGGAAACATATATTCATATATTGTGCTCTTTACTCGGTTTCAGTTCTAATAAGACTGAAATAACAACGTATAAAGCTTACTAATCTTTATTAATATTATCAAAAAGGCTGATGGCTAAAAAAAATGACTAATATCCCATCCCTAATTATATCAAATCCCCTATTGCAATAATTCTGATTTGCTTCAAATGTGTAGTTTTTTTTCGAAGAATGAAACTGCTTGAGGACAGGAAAACGCCAAAAACCACGAATTAATAACCTGAATTTTTTAAGGCATTTTCTTAAGCTGGATAAATCAAACTGACGAGTTGCGTCACCAGAGATAGTATGCTTTCATTGTATTTGATATTCATCTATCAGGTTCTTTAAGCTGTCTGGTGTCTGGGAAGGTGACTGGGATGATAACTATTTTTCTTTTTGCATATGGCCTTCTTTCTCTTTCACTAAAATGAATTCAAGCAAATGGAATTTCGAATCAGAACAAGAGAAATTTATAGGAGGCACGTGATTAAAATTTTTTTTCTTCCAACTTTTGAAATGGAATGACGAAATGCAACCTTTACATTGGATGATGTTGCTTGTTATCAGTTGCTTAACTTATATTCTGCCTATATCTTATTTTTGAGGTTAATCTCTACTTTAATATCATGTATGACAAATTACTCCTTTATTTTGGCCCGAAATTTCAGCGTTAATGTATAATTTCACATGTGAAGTTATAAAATTGCCACGGCAACCTTCAGTGAGTGTCAGTAGCAAGATAGCGGCAATGTTTTAAATGTTATGAATGAAGATGTCAGGGTATTGAAAGGCGCCTTAGAAAACCTAAACACACCAAAGAGCATATCAAGAAGGATTCTGTCAGGTATTTTGTCGAAAAATTATGAAAACTATGAACTTAAGCCAAAATTTAAGCCCTAAAATGTTCATTGTGTTCAGTTCTCGCTCGATAATCAGTTTGATGATCAATGTCAAAACTACGAGTGGGAGCGTAATTTGTCACCCATGATATTAATAGGTACTCAAATGGTATAAAGGCTCAGGAAATTATTAGGATTTTGACGAAACGCGAGTAAAGTTATTCCCTAATTTTACTCTTCACCATTTAAAAAAAAAAAAAAAATTAAGACCGCCCCCACCCCCTTATCTGAAGTTCTGGATCCGCCACTGCAATGCGAGTAAGCGCAATCGAATTTGTTCATTCTATCGAAACGAGACGACGATGTCATGGTCATGCAAAATGTACATATCGAATCTTAGCAAGATTTACGTCATTACTGTTTACCATTACGGTCGCTACTGCATACAAAAAAGTAACAATGATCACTTCCACCCATATTTTGACATTATCGTCTTTAAGATGATTAGAACAACATTTCCTGAACAGATCCTATTCGTTTGAGTTGGCGTTAAAGAAGGTGACCGTTAAAAAAAGTGAACAGACGGGGGACTCTTTGGTGCACTGTAGCGAAAATAGGCTAGTCAGGAATTCGCGCACGTTGACCTATCAAATAAATCGGTCAAACTTTTGAGCCAACGACTTCCAACATGTCTTTTGTTCCGTGATAGCAGGAGCGTAGCGTAACAATATTGCATACGTTTGCCCACTCTTCCAACATTGGGATTGTGGCGTCCGTTTCCATGTAGCTTTAGGAACCTACCAAATGCGATTTAGATAAAAACAGAGCTTGATTTCTGAACAAATCATCCTAAGAACCAATCAGATAGAAAGGAAAACCAGCTATTTCAAGACGAATGTGATAAAGAAGAACATTTATTTATTGGAAATATCTCTCATTTTCAGATGCTAAAAAATTGAAGAATAATGAAGTAGAAGTAAAAGGCCTCTGTAGGGAGCAACCTGAACCAAGGAATCCCGTCATGAGGTTTTATCGATGACCCATTGCGTTTAATCCTTCTCTTAGTAACAGAAAATAAAGTTTCGATATCGTTGAATCCGCCGATTATAATATTTGTCACACGTCAAAGGACACATAATTCATGACAATAATAAAATTTCGTTCAGGATCTAATCAGCCTTGTAGCGAAGTAAGTCATCTTAAGAAATTAACGATTGAACAAGTGATGAGGCGCTGTCCTAGTTACCAGCGCCATTATTTCCTTATACATGATTTTCTTTCCTACTTTATGGGAGAAATGCTTACCAATTTTATTGGAAAGCGCATGCGCGATCGACCCGAAACAGACAGATTCTCAGACTACGTCCTAAGCGTATTGAAAGCAATATTTTTGGAGATATTGCGGGTAATACTTTCTTAAAAGGTTAATTTCAGAAACTTTCAGACAAATCTGAAGAACAATATTAGACCTTTTTTAGGGTTCTAAACGAGACAGGAGGCCGTACAATGGAGAGTTGCTCAGGGCTTTAGAAAAATACGACTGTTGCTTCTTGAGGTCTTATCAAACTTCTCTGCGGCATCAGTGGTGTGATTTTGCTTAACACTAAAACAGATACTGACAATAAATGCTGAATGGTGTAATTTATCTAGAATAGTGCGTCTTATAAGTCCTTTTTTTGCAGCAGTTCCTCTCTCTCCATTTAATCTGGTCTGGTGTCAAAGAACGCTGTTATTCCTTTTTAGATTAACATTAAAAATCTAGTGTTATTGTTTAATCTTATCATCAAAATTTGTTTGCTTCATTAAACTTTCGTTTAGTTGACCAGAAATATTTTTGATTCAAATTATTTATAAAACGAACGACGTCCAATTTTGAAAAGAAGCGCCGAGTTGGCTATAACCATTTCATATCCAACTAGCGCGAATGGAATAATTGTTTTATTATTATTATTTTTTAAACTCCAAACGTCTGGTTATTACAATTGAATTTTAGTAAGTTTCATATTAAATATTACAGAACGACCGGATATTGATGTAACGTCGGGGAAATCAAGGGAAAATCACATGACATATGCGCCGTTTGCGAACTTAGCTAAATGAAAAATCTGAAAAGGAAGCAAATCACACAACCAAAAGGAAAATTTCTCTCATAAAAAAAGGAACGTTGATCAAATGTTCAGGTTAAAATCTTCGTCAAGAATAAAGACTTCAAAGTCAAAGTCAAGGAGAAGTGAAATAATTGTGCACCTGCACGTTGCAATTGTAAGAATACTGCAGAAAGCTTTGATCGCTATGCGACAAAAATTATTCTTGACAAGAACTGTTTTCGCTTTCCCTTACTATGACTGTTGTGGAATTTGACGCTAGATATGTCGACCCGATTGCTCGTCACTTTCGTTTTCTTTCTCCACTGAATCGAAGCTGCACAAAGACTTATAAATCAATAAAATGTCAGTACTTGAGCATTTTTTTTTCTTGCGATGTTTTCTCTACAAAAACCTTTAACAAGCTGCAGTAGACCAAAAAACTGTGTTTATACAGGAAAGCTTGCTGAGATCTTCTGCTCAAGTATACCACCAAATATTTACACAAACTTAAGGTAGAGATATCTGGACATAAAAGAGAATGCGATATCGTAATTGCGCCATTAATAGGTAAGGCAAAAATTATGATATTCGCCAAGAGAGTATCATTTGCAATATCCCCAGAAAAAGTGAATATTGATACTTCTTGGCTAACTCGCACAAACTGAGCAAATTAGAAATATATATGCAACTTTTACCAACGTCAAATCGAAAACATGTTAATATCTTGATATCTTTGAGCCCTGTTTCAGTGGAAGATACCAAGGGTAGATTCATTTGCAAAATACGGGTATAGAAGTCGCATTTGCCTGTTGGAAATCTTTTTATTGATTTTAGGCTTAAAACTATGAAAAATTCCAAAAGGCAAATGCGACAGCTATACCCGTATGTTACTATAATATCGTATGCAATTAACTATGAATAATTTATCGTGAGAGAATGTCTTAAATTCACTTTAAAACACTTACATCATTTCTCATTTCTTCTTCTTATTTGAATTTTGCGTTTTATATTCCTAAAACCGGCATATCACTCGTTACGAAAATATTTTAATTGATTATCACACCGTCTCTATGAATGAAGCCAAAGAAGATAATGTAAGACCTGTCCATTAATTTACTGACTCCTTAACTAGTCCTTCATCCGTTTAAGTTTCACTCAATGAAAGCTTTACCACCAAATGCCTGGTCAAATAGAGGACGGAGAGAAGATATTAAGACTGAGTATTTGCCTGGTGACGTATATCGTTACCAAGCAATTCAAGGAGAATTTCCGACAACACGGCTCAGTAAGCCTACAAATCCACTATTTCATTTGAGGGTTGTTTACCCACTGTGTTTTTCAACTTAGAGAAAACGCTTTTGAAAATAGCAGATGTCGTGTTTTAATTCTATAGATGAAATACGCTGATATTAATCCGTGCAAAAATAGAGAATATAGCCTTAGAACTTTCACTTATAACCAAAATAGAAAGGCGCAATTTTAGGACCATTCTTACACGTAAATAGTCTGATATCAAGGGATATGTATTCTTGAAGACCTGACTTCGACACTAGATTAATATCACCATGATGGAAGAGTTAAACAACTGTGTTTCTTCGGGGATTAGCCAGATGCTTTCGGGCAGCCGAGGGCAGGGAGAAAACGTTGGCAGCTCGATGGTCTGCCAACATTTTATTGGTTCTATGTGTTGCTCTGTTACTGGATTTCTGCAGCTGTACTAAAGTGCCTAAAGAAACGGCAACAGAACTGGAAGACTTCTTAGGTGAAGATTTTAATAATGGCATCCCAAACGGTGCTTTCGTTCATAACACTGAAAAATTGGTAGAGGGCGATGGTGAAAATGTTGAAGATGAAAATGGTGGGGCTGAGGAGGAAGAAGATGAAGATGATATGGAAAATGAAGATCGAGATGCAGATGATGAAGAGGAAGGAGAGAAAGAGAGTGAAAATAGAGATGAAAATGACGATGAAGATGACAACGATCTAGATGAAGACGAAAATGGCGAGAGAAATGAAATTGAAGGTCAAGACGAAGACGAAGACGGAGATGTAGATGATACGTCCGATTTAACAGCCATGGATAATGCGAACGAGGCACAGGTTGCTGTGAGAGAGAACGAAGGTAAGGTCTTTCGACTTAAAGAAAGACAAATGAGGAAATGACAAACTAGGATATTTGTCAATTTGCGGGATGTGGAAACTAATAAAGGGAAGATGTTTTCTGCTCAAAAACTCAAAATGAAAAATAATCATTTTTTCCGCGCGGCGATCATAAAATGGAAATGTCTATTTAATCAAGAAACGCGAAAAGCATTATGTATGATTCGTTTCGTTGTAGTTTTCTCGAGAGTAAATTCATAAAAATTGCCTAAATCGGTAAAATTCATTCACAAAAACATGAACTGTGCACTATAACATAAAGTCTATATAGGTCCTATAAACAGCTTCAGAAACAAAAATCTAGGTTACTGACAAATCGAGAAAATGTTTCAATGTGACTACAGCTTTGTTGCAAACTAATTCGAAAAAAAAAACTGTCTTTTTTAAAAAACTCTAATCTATACGCTACAAACAGGTGCAATTCGTTTCCCTGTTTTGTCTGTGTGTTTGAACATGTTAGAAAGGGCTATGTGGTTACCGAAATACCGGGATTAAAACCTCAATATTGCCTTGCACCTGTTAGCTAATTCTAATATTTTTCAACGACAGGACTAAATCAGCGTAAAACTGAGGACCCTCGGCGTAGACGACGAGGACGAAAGAGACGACGTAAAAGAAGACGGAGAAGGCGACGAAGACGAAGACGAAGACGATACAGGTTACGAAAACTTCTCTAGAAGCTTAGGCGAGGAAAAGGACGTCGGCGTAAGATATGCTTACGATTACGAGACCGTGGACGCCGTAAGAGCCGCAGGCGACGTAGACGCTCCAGAATATGTTTCCGAGTCAGTAAGAAACCCAGAAAACCCAATCCGAAACCTACTCAGGGACCAACTCAAGGACCTACTCAAGGACCGAGTCTGGGACCTAAACAAGGACCCTCTGCGGGGCCCTCTGCCGGACCTTCTGCGGGACCTAATACGGGAGGAACGAACCCGACACCAGGTGGAACAGATCTCACTCCAGCAGGACGTTAGTTAGATCAGTTCCGCAGTGGATGTCAACAACAATCAAACTGTAATGTACGTGTGAACCTGCTATCCGTTTGTCCTTCAGTAGATGTCAGGCTGATCCTAACGGTAAAAGCACGAAAAGCTAACAAAAAAAAAACAGACAAACAAACAAACAAAAATAGCAGTTGAATATTTAATGTTAAAAATTTACCAATAAATTATAATACCAACACTTTGTGAAATGTAAAGCGTTTTAGGCCTTGGGCTGACAAAACACAATGCTAACAATACTTTGTATAAAATGAACCCAAGCTTTGAACTAGATCGGTTTTACCGTGGTTTGAATCGGTCCATGGTATCGGTTTGTTACTGTAGTATGTTGTACTTAAAAATGATAATAAAGTAGGGCTTATTAACTGGTGCGTGTCATCAGTTTTTCACTAGAAAAAGAGGGTCGTAATGATCTCTCGGTGTTTCTCAGATTATTCGTAAGATAAAATTATTGCTATTGTTACAACACGTAGTAATTTTCATATTTTTAAATTTGTGCAAATTTCTTCTGATGACTCCTTAAAAACAAGTTGAACGATAGAAGAGGTACGCTAAAAGAAACCATCATATAGCCTGGCAAAATTGATTGACTTCTAGCTAAGCCGAGACGTGACTATAAGAAATTACCCCAACCTCCTCCTTGTTTCAAATGTGATTCTTACGTTAACCTGTTATTGTACACACCATAGTTTTACAAAGTGGCGCGTTTGTGGACAGCTTACCACATTTATCATGTTTATATACCTACCTGGAGTTTGAAAACCGGGTCGCCCCCATTGAGCCAGGCAACTTTTTGAAGGGGGGCTTCCATCAAACTAAGTATCATGTTGTTGCACAGACACACGCCTATCACGGTATTACCTTGTAAGTTAACAACAAGACAAATTTTAGGTACGGTAACATAGCGATTTAATTTCTCGCATTTCTATATGAAGGATAGGTAAAACCTTAAAAAAAGAAAAAAAAAACACACACACACACATATTGAGATCAAACTTTATTTCTCACAGAGAGGGTAAATTTCTGTTTAAGGAACACGGAACTGAAGAATGTGTTAAGTATCGTTTAGTTATAGCAGCCAAAAATTTCAACCACAGTTTTCTCCAAAGCATTCCGGCTCATAACAATTGCTTCAAATACTGAGGTACAAGTCTATTAGAAGAATATCTGGAGTTGTCGAAAAATGAGGAAATCTAAAAATGGAAATAGTGTCACCATGTTACTCATGCTAAAAATTCGTAACAAAGAAAAAAAACTTTTTCACACGCCCTGCATTACTGAATTTTTTTTACATCTAGGTCTAAATCAGCGTAAACCTGAGGACTCTCTGCGTAGACGACGAGGACGGCGCCGTAGTAGACAGTAGACAGTAGTTAACTGATAATTGGCCAAAAAATTAGTAGTTAACTGATAAATGAAAAGTTAACAGTTAAGTGATATTATATTAATGCTAATGAAATCAACAAAGTTTTGCCAACAGAAATGTTATTTTCTGACATTTTTCTGTCCCGCTGATGACTCGGTGGAACATTAACTGATATTACTGTGTCCAAAAGGCACCAAGGCAGTACCCGAAAAACAGAAAGCTTCAGTCAAAAAGCTGGTTGTAGACAACTCAAAAAATAATTCGTCTTCTAATATCAACAAGATTTCTGTGTTCGGAAAAGGAAAATACTGTTTTCACGGACCCAAAAGATCGTCAAGTTAAATATTACTACCCAAATAAAAAAGCTGTGACTCTTAGAATTGAATCTGGCCAAAAAGAATTTCTGAGGGTTCAAAGAAATCAGCAATCTTTCTTTTAAGTACATGGAGTTTGTACTTACGAGAAATCATTTTTGTAACCAATGTAGTTGTTCTAACTATTGAGACTTTTGATAGAAAGAAAAGCTCGTGTTTAAACCTGTCTTTCTGAACCTGTTTGGGCAGTTTTATTTCTTAAAATCCTTGGATATCTTTATGAGGCTTTTGAAATAGGCGAAAAAGGTAACATTGAGGAACGGGAAAGAGGATGTCGACAAAATCTGTATCGAGGTGGGAAAAACGTCTGACAACGCAGATTGAAAACCTACATGCGATTTCTCACTTTAACATGAAACATTTATTGCTTTGAACTACGCCCAAACTTTGGAACCACAGTAAAGGAATCGCTTAAAAAATTACGAGTTCGAAGTGGGCTACACTCACGAAAAGTCGAATTGTCCCGTGTCCGAATACTATCATGCCATTGTCAGCACTCTCAACTATGTCTCCCCCATCGGCGCAAACAGTGGTTGAATTCACCAATTGGATTCCAAAAATAATAGTCCAGTTTTGTTATTTAAGACTATATTTTGGCGTTGACAATATTTCTCGTCGTCTGTTTCAATGGATTGCAAGGATTAAAAATGGACTGAAACTTAGGCCAACAACAAGATACAAGCAATCAGATAAGTGCAAGACTGATTCCGATCAGATAATGAAAGTGCCGAAGGAGGTTACTTTGAAGTAGTTTATGGCAGGATATGCATGACCATGTCGGGGGGCCGATCAGTACGAGATCATGACTGGTGCGTCTGGATCTGTGAGGCTGGTGTCATATTGATGGTTATACGACCTATATTTTCAGTTACTAATAAATTGTACTACTGGCAGAGTTCATGTAAATTTATGCCTTGCATTTAGGGTGTACCAACAAAAGTGCGAGGAGAAAAATTCGGGCTATGACGGAGTGATATTCGCTGTAGGAAATTGAAAGTTAATGGTTAACCAAGTTTAGTAGTTAACTGATATTTGGGCGTAAAAATGGTAGTTAACTGAGAATTGGGTACCCCCACTAGCACCCTCTAGGATATGCTTACGATTACAAGACTTTGGACGCCGTGGGAGCCGCAGGCGACGCAGACGCACCGGAAGAGTATGTTTACGAGGAAGGTGTCCTCCAAAATCTACCCAGAAACCTACTCAGGAACCTACCCCGGCACATTCTTAAGGACCTACTCAGGGACCCTCTGCGGGGCCCTCTGCTGGACCTTCTGCGGGACCTAATCCGGGAGGAACGAACCCCACGCCAGTTGGAACAGATCCCGCTCCAGCAGGACATTAGTTAGATCATTTGCATGGATGAAACATTATCAATTTGATCAAACTGCAACGTGTGATCTGTTGGTTTTATTCTCCAGTAGATGACAGGCTGATCCCATCTCTGAGTACACACAGAGAGAATGTTGTAGCAATGTCAAGGTGTGTTACTCTACATAGACTCTACATGTAATATTAATATTATTAGGGAGCAAACTTCAGTTTCTCCTTTAACAAAAGTGTCAAGTTCTCAGCATAAGTGCCATAGGGAATGTATGAAGAACCGTGTCAATGTAGACACTCAAGAGTGACAAAGGTCATTTTTCTCTAAACAACTGATCATTTTATCATTTTCATCATACAGTGGATTAAATGTTGTGCAGCCTCAGTATAACAGCCTTGTCATGCACAACTCTTTTTTATACATGATTGCCCTCATATGGAATTAATTACCAACTATAACCAAATCCTCGACCACTTTAGCGCAATTTCGTGCTCGCCTTAATAATGTCAATTTCACAGGGTGCCAATGTACGAACTGTATATAACTTTATCTATTTTTACATTTTTACATACTCTTGGGCTAGTTTATATACATATATAATTATACTGATATAATTATGTTTTTTAATATTTTAATCAGTTTATAATGATTAGTCCGTTTTAAACTATTTTTAATGCATGTTCTTAGGTTGTTGTTGTTGTTGTTTTTTTCAGAAAATAGTTTCCTAAAAAATTTCCCATAATTACGATGTTTTTAGGTTTTTCTTAATATGTGTATATACATAATTCACTTTTTATCATGTTTTGTATTTTTTAGTTTGTCGAGCGTTTTTAACGTGAGCCACTGGCTCGGAAGATTGTGTAAACACTTCCCACGTCTTGGACATTAAATAAATCATTCATTCATTCATTCATCATCTTCATTGTAATCGTGTTCTGTCATCTAATAATGAAGAAATAAATAAACAAGCATCATTCAAAGAAAAAAGGGTTAAGAATGAGATATTAACCCTACTCAGAATGAGAAAGGGGCTTTACAGGGCCCCCCTCGCTAAAACCATTCAAAACTGTTTAAGCTATGTCAACCAAAATTTATCTGGGAACATCGTAGTTATTTTTTCTTGATTCCGTCAATAAGTTGTTTGTACAGTGCCGGTAACTGATGACTACGGTTTAGTGGCGTTTGTTCTAAGTTAGTAAACCAGCTTTCTAAAGTGAGTCGTTTATAGTAGTCTGTAGAATACATAAAACATGTGGTAGAGGGCCAGCCGATTTTATGTTTCGTCTGTAAATGGTGCTCAGCAATGTGATTGTTGACGTCACCATTTCTCGTATCACGTTTGTGTTCGGTCAGTCGCGTACCAAGGTTTCTGCCGGTTGCAGCAATTTAAGAAGCCTGGCAGTCGCAGCATTTGACCTTGCATACTGCTCCCTGTCTGTCCTCCGGTTTGTCTTTGTCCTTGACATTAGTAAGTAGTCGTCGTAAAGTGGTTATCGGTTTGTGTGCAACACTTGTATTGTAATATTGTAGTATACGTGCGATAGTTTCAGAGGTGCCTCTGATGTACGGTATAGTCGCTGTCGTAACAGGGCCAGAGATGGCTTTAGTC